ACGCATCGTGAGAAAGGATGACGATGATGGTGATAACCAATGGAAGAGACTGGTGATGGAATAGCAACCAAAGTCAGGAACAACCGATAGGACAACCGCTACTTGCATTGAGCGATGAGGTCAGCTGGCGTGCAGGAATTAGATGGATTGCGGCGTCACAAGACCGTTAGGGAGAGGTGGTAATTGCATGATGAGGCCTTCATTCAGCAGTGAATAGACCTTAGCCACTGATGACGGTACATAAAATAAAACCCCAAGTTGAACCACAGTTTTACAATGTAACCAAATAAGAATAATTTTAAAAAGTCTGCATTTCATTACTTCGGCAAAAGCAAAACAAAATGAAAACCGATTTAAATGTTTTTACCTCCAAGAATTGGCCATCACGAGAAAAGGAAATGAGAATGTCTTGGGTATTGCCGGCTTATGCCGTATAACATGTGGACGATGTCAACACGCCCACTGTATATATTGCAGGATGTGTCGCAATGGTCTCATAACTCGAAGCACGTGTGTTTCGCTCACTTCCAAGTATTGTGGCGAGCATCAATTGAAATTGAACAGCGGCGAGCGGGCGGGGAATTGAACGCGACGTGGAAGGCAACGTCGATTTTACATAAGAGTGCGTAACATGAGCACAGACACTGCTACATCATGCGCGGGCCGTTGCATTTCAAGAGCATTCAAAGAGGGAGGGGAGGGGGAGACGACTCAACACTGACTTCATTCAAGCCCACCCGTTCTTGCCACACACTGTAGCACGTTGCCCGTGTGCTTAGTTTCAGTCGGAACAGTCCGGAACGCTGTTCCGGGAATTATTTTGGCATGCCACATCCATCTCGCGCTGCCTTATTTTCACCTCGTGAGACTGTGGTGGTTGGTGGGTGTGCAAGATTCGTGCGCGCATAGCTCTAGAGGTTTACCAAGGGTGGAAGTGTATTAGGGGTTGGTAGGGCCTTACGTATAATCCGTTGCTCCAAGCCAGCCATGCGGCATTCCGGAAAATATTGAGTGAGAAATTAAGCCCTACGCATTGCACATCAACACAGTCACTTTTATTTTATTTGTAAAGAGGCAGGTTTGGAGTGCGTTCGGAAAACTTAACTCAATGATGAAAAGCGATATACCCATGTGCCGAAAGACAGACAGACATGTTTTATCTGTATGTGTTACCCGCTATTCGTATCGACACATACAAAGAAAATGGAACGAGAGCTGATAAGTGCACAATGAAGCTTGGAGAGATGCATGCTTGGAATTCGACTAGGAGACAGAAAAAAAATACATGGACCAGAGAATACGTTGGAATGATCACGCTGTCTGTGAAGACGCATCACTGGAATGATTTATGGCTGGAGGTTTGAGACGAACAAGCCAGCGGTGGAAATGCCACGTTCTCATAGCGGGCTGTGAGTCTTTGCATAAGGCAACCACTGATTACTTCACTGACAATATAGGACTGGTTTTAATCAGCCTGGCGGGATGAAGTGCTGAATCGACTTGAACTTGCAAGCTTCTGATTGTAAGCTGATGAACGTTTTTAAACAATTCGTGCAATTTAAACGTAGAGCAACCGCGTGCATGCGAAGAATTATACATTAGTGAGTTAAAAAAATGCATCCTCAAGTGTAAACATTCCACAACCGTAACGCCTGCATTCACATTGTCCAAAATTGAGGCTAAGGAGTTTGCGCGGAGTTTGTGGCCAGGAGATGGCGATATAGGAACTCATTGTTGAATCCGTGCGGAGCTTTTTGCATTCACCCTTTGATGGCGTGAATTATCTCCAAGCATACGGGTTTCCTAACAAGTGCCAAACAAGCCACCGATGGGATTGGCCAAACATCTCAATGTTAGGACCCGCCTGCAATAAAAGTGCTATGAAGAAGGCCCAAATGAATTAAGGCCCATTACCCAAAACGTCACTTATTTTTTTCACCTTTTAAGGCCACAGCTATATTAACGATTTAATGTGCTATAATGTTTTTATTTGTGCTTGTACACCACTGACAATGCATCAGCATCTCCAAATTATGTTGAATCCTGACAAAGATATTCTCAGACTCGGGGAGGGTTTACTGGCATTATCACATCACTTCCTAAATGTGATTTAGAGGTAGTGTCATTCCATTTGTGAGGAGCATCGCACATGTCAAATAAACAAAACTAAAGTCAGAACATGCTAGGAAAGTGTAGAATCGGCACATCTTCAGTGTTGAAAGTTTGCCAGGCGTTCCACAAAACGACCTGGAATACCAAATGCAAGAACTTCCTTTTTGAGCAGATGTGGCGATTCAACAGTAATAATGATGCCTTTTACTTTACCCAAGAAAAGCCTCAGCTGGGTCTTGAGACTTATTATTTTTAGGATGGTCCCGCATTGGGATATTTGGTCAATTCCATTTACCAGCGTTTGGCGCATACGATGGGATGACACTCAACGTCTCCGCAAAGATGGGTTCAACTCCACTTGCTGTGTTGTCATCATCTCCCGGCCCACCTCGTCGCCTAGCGGAGTTTGGGAATCTCACTACTGCGTGTGGCGTGTCATCCACCAACCCATGTCTCCAAAGCGCTGGATTTGTAGCCGTGCATTGAGAGTGGCGATGTCATCATGCGATGCACAGCACGCCGAAGCTGCCGTTGTTGTTACGCATTAGCTGGAATACATCAAAGGGTGCACGGGGCACATGGCACGTGATTTTGCGAGTGCGTAAACAAGCGAGCTGGAAGCGGCATGCCTTTAAGAACTTGTATGACGCACGTAAGGGAGGAGAAAGGGGGGTTTTGCGGTAAGGCGGGGTGGCATGGTGAGTGAGTGTGTGTGTTGGGGTGGGGGGACGATGCGGGTTGTTGAGTGGTGGTAGTGGTGATTGTGATAGTGTGGTTGGGGGCTTGGGTGTTGAACCGATGTCACGGCAACGGGGTTAGGAGGTGCTGGTTCGTGGACACAAACAACAGTGAAGTGAGTTTTGAGAAACGCAAGTGGTGGAGGGGAGGTCAAATCGGTGGGTCAAACAAAGATCCCCCGCGTAGCCTTCACATACGGTTGGGGCAAGTGCTGTTAGCGAGCACCTATGAAGGTGTTCGGTGGGTGGGTGGCCAGTACCACGCCCGGCCGCCTTTATCTCCCCAGAGGCGGTGTTTACACATCACACCGGGTGCTCATTTGAGGCTGAGCGGGAAATCAAACTCGGGTCCCCGGGTTCGTAGCGCAGCGTGCTACCCGCTACACCACCGCTTCCCCCCCCCCCCACACACACACAAGGACAAAGATCCCCCTTATAGCCTGTGACAGACTGTTGGGGCAAGTGCTGTTAGCGAGCAGCAGCACCTATGAAGGCCGGGTAGGGCACACGAGGAGGGGGTGTGTTGGCCAGCACCACGCGCAAGGACACACACACACAGAGACACACACAGAGAGAGACACACACACAGAGACACACACAGAGAGAGACACACACAGAGAGACACACACAGAGAGAGACACACAGCGAGAGAGACACAAAGATCCCCCGTATAGCCTTAACAGACTGTAGGGGCAAGTGCTGTTAGCGAGCACCTATAAAGGCCGACACGGCACACGAGGGGGTGGGTGGCCAACACCACGCCCGGCCGCCTTTGTCTCCCTAGCGGCGATGTTTACACATCACACCAAGTACTCATTTGAGGCTGAGTCGAGAGACACACACACAGAGACACACACACAGAGAGACACACAGAGAGAGATAGACACACACAGAGAGACACACACACACAGAGACACACACACACAGAGACACACAGAGAGAGACACAGAGAGAGATTCACAGAGAGAGACACACAGAGAGACACACACAGAAAGACACACACAGAGACACACACACACAGAGACACACACACAGAGACACACACAGAGAGAGACACACACAGAGACACACACACAGAGACACACACACAGACACATACACAGAGACACACACACAGAGACACACAGAGAGAGAGACACACAGAGAGAGACACACACACACAGACACATACAGAGACACACACAGACACACAGAGACAGACACAGAGAGAGAGAGACACACACACAGACACACAGAGAGAGAGACACACAAAGAGACAGAGACACAGAGAGAGACACACAGAGAGACACACACAGAGACAGACACACACAGAGAGAGATAGACACACACAGAGAGACACACACAGAGACACACACACAGAGACACAGAGAGAGACACACACAGAGAGAGACACAGAGACACACACACAGAGACACAGAGAGAGACACACACACAGACAGAGAGAGAGACACACACAGAGAGACACACACAGAGACACACACACACAGAGACACACAGAGAGAGACACACAGAGACACTCACACAGAGACACACACACAGAGACACACACACAGAGACACAGAGCGAGACACACACAGAGAGAGACACACAGAGAGACAAACACACGCAACATGGGAGGGGTGGGGGTTGTGTTGGGTTGGTGGTGGGTGGGTGGGTGGGGGTGGTTGGTGGTTGTTGGGCCACTGAAAGCCCGGGGAGTCACTTCAAAGCCATCGCCTTCTGTTCGCTCCGCCTAAAATTGCATTGACGTAGGTAGGGGTGGGTGATGGGGGGGGGTAGAGCGCGCTACGTCATCGCTGCCAGTGAATTTGCATGTGCGCGTGTGTGTGTGCGTATGTGTGTATGTGTGTGTGTATGTGTGTGTGCGTGTGTGCGTGCATGTGTGTGTATGTGTGTGCGCGCATGTGTGTGTGTGTGCATGTGTGTGTATGTGTGTGCGTGTGTGTGCGTGCATGTGTGTGTGCGTGCATGTGTGTGCGTGCATGTGCGTGCATGTGTGTGCATGTGTGTGTGTGCATGTGTGTGTGTGCATGTGTGTGTGCATGTGTGCATGTGTGTGTATGTGCGTGTGTGTGCATGTGTGTGTGTGTGCGTGTGTGTGCGCGTGCATCAGGCTTCTCGACTCAGCCTCAAATGAGTCCCCGCTGCGGTTGTTGTTGTTAAAGCGTCGCCGCTGGGGAGACAAAGGCGTCCGGGCGTGGTGCTGACAACCCCCCAACCTTCCCGCGCACGTGTCCGCGCCGGCCTTCGTAGGCACTTGCCCCTCCCCACCTCCAAACAGTCTGTGGCAGGCTACACGGGGGACCTTTGTCTTGTGTGTCAGGCGTGGTGGTGGTGGTGGCGAGGGAGGGCGAGCGAGTAAGAGAGCGAGCGAGCGAGCGCGCGTGATAGTTGAGTCGCTTTATCGCCGCTACACACGCGCGCCTCGACAACACCACCACCACCAACACCACCACCACACACCACCACCACCAAACACCACCCACCCCCTTCCACCACCACTCATCCAATGCCTGCGGGCCACGAGAGGAGGCAGACGCAGCAGCAGCAGCATCACTGAGAGAGGAGCAGCAGCAGCAGGAGGAGGAGAGGAGGGGAGAGAAACGATCGTGTGGGTCTTGGGCTCTTGGCATGCCACCGTGCGCTCGTCACTACAGGCAGCGAAGCGGCCTCCTCCTCTCATCCTGCAGCAGTAGCAGCAGCAGTAGCAGAGCAGCAGTAGCAGCGGCAGCGGCGGTGGTGGTCCCACGGTGTTCAGTGGCCATGGCCGGGTGCGTGCACAATGCCCAGCTCCGGACGCCCGTCAAGGTTGGCTTCTACGACATCGAGGGCACGCTGGGCAAAGGGAATTTCGCGGTCGTGAAGTTGGCGAGGCACCGCATCACCAACACCGAGGTGCGTTGCGTTGCGAGCGGGCGGCTTCGCGTTACTTCGTGGTTGTTGTTGTGGTTGTTGTTGTGTACTTGTGTTGTGGGGTCCTCACCAACAGCACTTAGTCACAACAGTATGCACAGGCCATGGTGGTGTTGTGTTTATGTGTGTTGTGTTGTGTCCATCGTTGTCGTGGCCGGACACAACACCACCAACACCACACTCCCTCCCCATTACACTCCTCGTGCGCCGTGCACGTTGACAGCAGCAGCACTTGCCCCCAGCAGCCTGTGTAGGCTACACGGGGGATCTTTGCATTTGTGTGTCTCTGTGTACTTATGTGCGGACGTATGTTGAACTTCTATCGCACGCTACGTAGCCAACCGTGCTAATCTATCTGTGTGTTTGTGTATTGAGAATTGTGTGTCCGCGTCTGTGTGTACAGTATTTGTGTGTATTTGTTTATGTGTATGTATGTGTGTCTGTGTGTGTCTGTATGTGTGTCTGTGTGTGTCTATGTGTGTCTATGTGTGTGCGTCTGTGTGTGTCTATGTATGTGTGTCTGTGTGTGTCTATGTATGTGTGTCTGTGTGTGTCTATGTATGTGTGTCTGTGTGTGTCTAAGTGTGTGTGTGTGTCTTGGTGTGTGTGTCTGTGTGTGTGTCTTGGTGTGTGTGTCTGTATGTGTGTCTAAGTGTGTGTGTGTCTGTGTGTGTGTCTAAGTGTGTGTGTGTCTGTGTGTGTGTGTCTGTGTGTGTGTGTCTAAGTGTGTGTGTGTCTAATCGAACAGCATTGTTTTACACGTGCGGCATTGTTGTGACGCGACCCCATTGCATTTCCCTGCCCCGTGCAACTCGTGATCACGACAGTGAACTTAACTTTGTTTCAAGTTACGGCCCCGTGTTGAATCTGAGCAATTTATTCGGTTAGATAAGAGAGGTTTTGAGAAGAAGAAAAAACATTTGGATAAATGAAAATGTTACGCATAACGCAACGAAACACATCCCGTAAAACTGTTACCTAACTCAAGATTATGATAAGGTAACACATGTCTTTTTTTTTTAAAAATCTCCCCTAAATAAATGAATACATGTTCGGACGTATTGCATGATGTAGATGTTGAATTTTTTTATTTTGTATTCGGTTTTAAAAGGTTTCAATTAATGGAAACCCCCGATGTAGAATATATGTAGAGCTAAAATGTTGTAGGGTATAAAAGTCTCCTGGTTTTGAGCTCTTTCACTCAGAATTCATCACGAATAAAATTTATTGACACGTTTCTCGTGAGAATTCATGAAATTTGTGTGTGTGTGTGGGGGGGGGGGTTAGCTATTACGTGGACGAGTTTTAGATACCGCTTTAAACTTACACCAGTAGTGTTAATAAACTAGCTGTGCCCATCATAACTTCAAAGAGTTATTATTTTTGCAAATAAACTTTTTTCTTCTGTTGTTGCCAACAACTCCTGCATGGCCATCGTAACACGCAGTGCAATGTGTTACAGATTGTAACTTTAAAACTGCCATTGGTAATCTTCACATTTCAAATGATGATGGGTGGCCAGCACAACGCCCGGCCGCCTTTGTCTCCCTAGTGGCGATGTTTACACACCGCACCAGGTACTCATTTGAGGCTGAGTCGACCTAGGAGAGGCCCGGGACCGGTTCAGATAATCGTCACTGGTGTTGGCCGTGAGCGGGAATCGAACCCGGGTCGCCAGGTTCATAGCGCAGCGCGCTAACCGCTACACTACCGCTCCCCACACACACAGACACACACACAGATAGACACACACAGACACACATACACAGATAGACAAACACACACATACACAGATAGACACATACACAGATAAACACACGCGCAGATAGACACATACACAGATAGACACACAGATAGACACACACAGATAGACACACACACAGACACACATACACAGATAGACACATACACAGATAGACACACAGATAGACACACACACAGATAGACACATACACAGATAGACACACAGACACACACAGACAGACACACAGATAGACACAGATAGACACACACGCGCGCGCGCACGTGGTGGGTTTGTAACAACATTACTGTAATAAGATGATGGTTATTTTCACTCCAGTTATAGGTGCGCAACAACGTTATAAAGACACCTCGTTATATGCTTATGCATTGACGAGTCTTGCATAGCACGTTGTTATTATACTGGAGTACAGTCTATTGTGAAATAGCAATCATGCGACTTGCACGTTCAGTTTGCCAGGCCAACATGTCTTGGTTTATTGTCATAAATCCACAGGAATTCGAATGTCTAACTTACTCTTATATTTAATTCTGAAAATAATAACAGACCGGAAAATATTTTTTATGCACCTTTTTTGTAACACGTTGGCGCGTGTGTGTCATTGTGTGTGTATGTTGTTTTGTGTGTGTGTATATTATTCTGTTGGTGTTTTGTGTGTGTGTAAGTCAACCTCATGGCACCTGGGTCTGTCCCGTGACCTCCTGCCAGCGGGCGTTCGACACTTCACGTGGCCTTTAAAGTGCACGTAGCCTGGCACAAGCGCCGTAGGGCACGTCACCGCCATTTAGTGGCGAATTACAGTTGTGTGTGTGTGTGTTTTGGGTGTGTTAGTGTTGTGTGTGTGAAATCAGTGGATCATTAATATGTGGTCAGTATTGTTTTTGTGTGTGTGTGTAATGTCAAACGCAGCAGAACGTTTCCAGTGCGTCTTTAAAACCGTGACAAACACCAAGCGTTGCAACACGGAGCCACTTTTTCCTGCTTGGCTTTGCGTGAGTGCCGTGTGATTTTCCAGGGGCAAAAAAAAACCCAATGTCAATCCGCCACCGTTTGAGGTACTATAGCAACGAAGGAATTCCAAGTGCATATTTTGCCAATTACAGGCTAGCTGTGCCTTTTTATGGCCGTCCCGTACCCCACGCTTTGATTCCCCTGTCGTCCCATCGTACTCTCTTAGGATTCGTGCGATGTATGGTAATTAATTATTTGCTAAAATGTGCATTGTACGGTCCACTCCTGTTCGGTCATCCCTTTGCAAGTGAAATGATCCAGGTGTCTCTTGAGTACTCACCGGGTTAAGCAAATAAACTTGAACTTATTGTTTGCTAATGTCCCAGGGTCGTGGTTGTGTGTGGGCCCGCAGGCGGATTGGAGTGACATGCCACAGTCTTCTGGATGCTTAAACACTTGTTTTTGTGCAACCTTTCCAAACGCATGTAGCAACCGACAGAAACTTTTGCGTTGCATATCTTTGGGACCATTTTTTGGCAGTACTGTATCTAAAACTATGAAAAAAATAGGTGTTCATAATGTTCAAACACCAAATTGATACCATTTGTAAAGGCATCAAGTCTGAATTAACCACACGTACTTGTGGCAAAACATGCATGCTACGTTACAGTTATATTTCAATGTGCTTTTAGTTTGTGGTCCTTATCTATCGATAAGCACGGTTGGCTACGTACGGTGCGAAAGAAGTTCAACATACATGTACATACAATGCGTGACAACTTGTGTTTAATTGTAATTTATTAGTCGTACGGGCAAGCATTTTGTGTTTGCCAAGATCACACATTAGATATACATATTACCATCATCATCATCAAGAGCCATTGCCTATCCACTGCTGAATGAACGCCACCTATCTGCCACTCCTGAACAGATCGCTCACAAAAAGCGATAGGTCTGCATCAAGCTGGGCTGTTTGTGAATGGCAGACTTCTTGTGTATGCACAGGTATTTTAATTGTTGCTTATTAATTTTATTTTATATATAAAAGGGAAATTTGTGAATATGTGTGTCTGTTCAAAATGTTTAGCGTACTTCCCGACATGCTACAAACTTTAAATTTGCCATATGGGTACTTTCCAGACTGTACACCATGCAAACATTATTAAAATAGACTTTTGTAAAAAAAAAATTTGGGGGGGTGGAGGGCGCAATAATGCATATTTTTTGCACGGCAAAGTGAACTGTGACGTCACATCTGTCATGTGACTCGCGTGCGGAAGCGTAACGCAGTGTGCCTGCTCATGTCACGCATCCCCCCTCCCAATCCTCCGCGAGTAGAGTGCCATGCAGATGTGTTGCAGGTCTCAGGCGTTCTTCGCGCAGCATTGCTTTATTATTTCAGTCGTTTACTGCCGCACGCACCCTGAAAGTTGTGTGTGTGTCTGCAGCAAGCGCGTGTTTGTGTACCTATGGACGCGTGTGTGTGTGTGGAGGGGGGGGGAGCGGTAGTGTAGTGGTTTGTGTGAACATCGCCACTGGGGAGACAAAGGCGGCCGGGCGTGGTGAATCCAAGTCCCGGGCGAAGCCGGGTAGTAAAGCTAGTATACGTATATGGATTAGTCAATTTGTGTACAGCTTGGCAATACTGCCATGAATATATGTGTTATATGATAATAATAAGCCCTTACCAATTGCAAGTTACATTTTCTTGGAGATGCTGGTGGGTTTTATTTAGTCAATTAATTGCTTTGCTTAATTCGTCTTGGAAACCAATTAGGAATGCATCGTTGGAGAGATTAGCCCTAGAGTTGATTGTAAGGCCTTTAAAACAGATTCCCCTCCACAAAGATGAAAACAGCAAACCATAAGAAACGAATACAAAATGAGGCATGATTTAAGAATTGCGATCTGTTTGCAGAAATAAAATAAGAACAGTAGTCGTTTGTACTTGACCACACGAATTAGTGTGTGTGTGTGGTATATACGGAGGCAAATGTCCAATGCATCATCATCATCACGACTTCTGCCGCGGGAGTCCATAAAACCAGATTCTTGAGTTTTTTCGCCACAGTAAATTCAACTCGCTCGCCTCTGGCTATATGGACGGCGCTCTTTTAAAAAAAAAAAAATATTAAAAAAAATAAAGTATTTACAGTGGCATAACGACGTTACGCAATCATTGCTTTCCCTGCTGGCGTCTCATGACGGATTATACTGTCATCAAACTTTGGTCTACGACGGCGGTTCTTGTGTGCTCTACGAACCCGGG